ACCACTTTTTCTCTTTTTTTTTTTTGACCGTTTATACTTCTTTTTTCGCTGTTTTTCGCGTTTTATGCTTTACCATTGTCCTAATGTAGGCCTTACCTATCACTATCTGTGGAATACCGGATACCCCTAAATTATCGCGAACGGTGCCTTTAAGTTCAATCAAACTAGGAAAGAAAACAACTCGAATCTTACCGTAAGCACAGCTGTCCCAGCAATGATTTCATCCAATCGGTTGTCATTCATGGTGACATTCGAAAAAGATGATTTTCTAGAAATAGTTAATTTTAAAAGCAATTTTACGTTGAGAAGAGTGAAACCTTGATTGCCAATGTAATGTGGCTAGGCACATATAGGTATATAGAAAAAGGCAAGACAGGCCAGATATCTAGACTCATAGCGATCAACATTCTGGATTGTTGTTAACTTTTGGGAAGAATTTATGAAATATTCCTTGTTTAAATAGCTTTTACGGTAACAATTAAATTTTCGCTTTGATTCACTGAAATGAACTAGACAACAACAAGAACAGCAACGTCAATGGATCTTGGGATATGAAAACCATTGAGTGCTATTCATGCATAGTCGTAGCTATTATCAGATGCTGAGCTACCAGAACGGTCCACTAACTGCCCTTGAAGGGTTCAAAGCCAAACCTTCCGGAAAAGCCATAAAAGCTGCGATTTAATACAAATATAGAATGAACAACCAAACCGCTAATAATAAGTCTCGGGTGCAGAAAAACGATGCTTCAGGGACATGAAAACGATCCCAAGTACTACTTGACTAGAACTTGATCCACCAAGCATAATGGTAGAGTGGAATTTCTTCGAAAAGCCAATTGACAGTACATCGGTCCGCCGTGAAAAGAGTTAAATTCATTTATTGATTTTATGAAGATAAACAAATAGTAAATAGATAAGACATAAAAAGTTATAGATAAATAAAAAAATATGGAATATAAATACAAAATGACATAAACATACTTATAAAATTTTTAAACAGCCATTCACACTGGGAGGCCCTCTCTCTGAATTATTCATCAGTCACTCTTTTTAGATCAAATACCCTAAAGAATGATCACAGCTAGTGAATAGTAATGTCTTATTCATAGCATTTACCTAGGGAACCTTAAAAAACACTATTAGGTTGAAAGGAAAGTTCTGCCCGTTTCGTCAGCTATTTTTCAAAAAGTTATAAATTATCTCAAAGTGAACATTTTTACTTGGCCCCAAGCCCCACTCGATTCTACACATGTTTGCCAACGTGATACTAGTCTGTCTATTCCATTCTTATAAAAGTCGGGAGATCTGGATTCCGAAAACTCGAGAAAGGCAGCTTCCGCATCGCCTTGATCTTTGAACAATCGTTCCTTTAAGGAGCTGTCCAGATGTTTAAGTAAATGTTAGTCATTGGTGACAAGTCTGGTGAGTAGCGTGGATGAGGGAGAGCTTCGACTCGCAGCTCGTTCAACTTCT